TGACAGAAATGTAGCCCCAAACCAGGACAGACACTTCATTATGTCTCTCTAGAGTCTGCAAACACTCATTTCTCCATATCTCTCCAGCTCTTCTCATATATTGCTGACCATTGAATCCCAAAATTTCAAAGTTGGATTCATCATTGGATAATACTCTTTTCCACTGATTCTTAGTCCAACTTTTCGGAGCTTCAGCATATCTTACCCTTTTTACCCTGTTCCCCTTCTGCAAGTGTGATATCTTGGCTGCTACCCACCCACAAAGGCCATTCCTGGTTGAGCTTCTTCAGACTGTTGAAAGGTCAGTTTCGCCTCCCGATGAAGTTGCAGGATGCTGAGCCAGGTCCTTGGTGGATTTCCTCTGATCTCTCAAAGGAATTTCTCATCAGAATTTGAAAGTTTCCTTGGCCTTCAAATCCTCCTTTTTTGTCCTTGACTTCTCCTGCTTCCTCAGAGTTCCTTATGACAGTTTGAACATCTATGCAGATTCCCAATCAACCAGATCATGGTTGTCCAAGGTGTTTTTCCAAAGGCAACTGGACTTTCTTAGTTTTTTCCTTGAAGAAGTTTCGCTTCTCATCTAAGAAGCTTCTTAAGTTTTGAAGAAGCTGTAGAATCTTCTTGGATGAGAAGCGTCTTATCTGAGATGGCGGTCATATAGGCAACATTTGTGTCTAGAAAGTAGACAATACCATGGGCGGTTTCTGGGGTTGAGCTTAAAGGAGTTAAAACCATGGAGTGTACTATATTGCTAGAAAGGATGGCAGGAACCGGAAAGCGCAGAGGAACTTCCTCTTCGGGATCACTCATGAGAGGAGGATGGTGCGCAGAGAGGCTTTTGTGCTCTTCCAAGGATCGAAGCAGCAGCTGGAAGGTGAGTGGAGGGCAGGTCGGAGGAGAAGCCGGGAGCAAGCAGGGTTTTTTTTGTTTCCTCCATAGTGTCCAATCAGAGAAGCAACTAGGCCAGGGGTAGGCAACGTTGGCTCTTTTATGACTCGTGGACTTCAACTCCCAGAATTCCTGAGCCAGCCATGCTGAGGGGAAAGGAAGGGGTTTCCAAGCTGAGCCATGCTGGCTCAGGAATTCTGGGAGTTGAAGTCCACGAGTCATAAAAGAGCCAAGGTTGCCTACCCCTGAACTAGGCTGAAGCATGTCAGCTGCTGCTGCATGTTCCTTCTTTCCCCAGTCCACTCGTGCCAAGGTTGCCTACCCTTGCCTTAGATAGAGACAGGACAAGCGTGCTTTTTCACCAACTATCCCCGGTCAAACAGGCAACAACTGTGCCTAGAAAGCGGACAATACCGTGGGCGGTTTCTGTAGTTGAGCTTAAACGAGTTAAAACCATTGAGTGCTGCATTGCTAGAAAGGATGGGAGGAGAGGAGAAGTGCAAAGGAACTTCCTCTTCGAGAATCGCTCAAGGGAGGAAGGTGGTGTGGAGAGAGGCTTTTGTATTCTTTCCCAGGTTGAAGCGGCAGCTGGAAGGTGAGTTGAGGGCAAGTTGGAGGAGAAGCCGGGAGCAAGTTGGGCTTTTTGATTTCCTCCGCTGGGCGGAAGCAGAGAAGCAAACAAGGCTGAAGCATCTCAGCTGCTGCTGCTGCAAATCCCTTCCCTCNCTCAAGGGAGGAAGGTGGTGTGGAGAGAGGCTTTTGTATTCTTTCCCAGGTTGAAGCGGCAGCTGGAAGGTGAGTTGAGGGCAAGTTGGAGGAGAAGCCGGGAGCAAGTTGGGCTTTTTGATTTCCTCCGCTGGGCGGAAGCAGAGAAGCAAACAAGGCTGAAGCATCTCAGCTGCTGCTGCTGCAAATCCCTTCCCTCCCCAACTTTTAGGTCCACTGGTGCTGCACGCTGTTAAACTGGGGGCTGCAATTTTCTGCTGGTGGGAAGATTTAAAAAGTCTCCTTCAAGTGAAGGTTGATTCTTTGGGAATGGCTTCCCTCCAGACGTTGTGGGTGCTCCATCACTCGAGGCATGTAACAGAGTTGGAAGGAACCTTAGAGGTCTTCTATTCCAGGGCTTTTCAATCAGTGGTACGGGTACCACCTGTGGTACATTGGCACCTGGCAGGTGGTACGTGACCATCCTAGAAAAGTGGTAGTGGGGGAGGGGAATGAGCTGAATCGGTGGCAGCACCACACAAGCCTGAGGAGAGATGGCTAGAGCTGAAGGGCTGTTAGGGCTCAGTGGAAGCACCAGGATCAGAACCAGGCTCCAGCTGGAGCTCGGCACTGATCCTGGTGCTTCTGCTGAGCCCTGAAGAAGCACCAATCAGCTGGAAAGCAGCACTGATCCTGGCACTTCTGCTGAGCCCAGAAGAAGCGCCGATCAGCTGGAATGTTGCAGCATCTCCAGGGTCTTGTGATTTACATTCAGATGCTTGGCAACTGATACATATTTATGACGGTCATATTGTCCCAGGGTCATATGAAGTGACCAAAACCTGCTGCAACCACCCAGCAGATGGGGGGAATAAAAACCAAACAGCCCCCTACCCTAGCCCGCTACCAATTCTCAACAGAAATGCTCACAACAATGAAAACCTCGGACAGGAGGAAGAGCGCCGCCGGGTTGGCAGGCAGGTGTCTTGCTCGGCTGTGGCTTGGGGGGCACTTTTTTCAGTGCTACTGTAACTTCGAACAGTCACTAAGCGAACTGTTGTAAGTCAAGGACTACCTGTACTTTATCACTTTTTTCCTTTTTTTTGGTTATCAAGTTTTTGACACCTTGCTAGGCGACTGGTGGTACTCGGATGTTGCCATATCCTAAAAGTGGTACAATGGGTGAAAAGGTTGAAAAGCCCTGTTATATTCCAACCCCCTGCTCAAGCAGGAGACCCTGTACCATTTCAGACAAATGGCTGTCCCGTCTCTTTAAAAGCCACCACTGATGGAGCATCCACAACTTCTGAAGGCAAACCGTTCTATTGGTTAATTGTCCTCACTATTCGGAAGTTTCTTCTTAATTCCAGGTTGCTTCTCTCCTTGATCAATTTCCACCCACTTGTTCTTGTCTTGCTTTCTGGTGCTTTGGTAAATAAGTTGACCCCTTCTTCTTGACCCCTCAAGTATTGAAATACTGCTTTCATGGCATCCCTAGTCCTTCTCTGGATTAAATTAGACATATCCAATTCCTGCAACCCTTCTTTATATGTTGTAGCCTCCAGCCCTTAATCATCCTTGCTGCTCTTCTCTGTGCTCTTTATAGAGTCTGAACATATATTGTGGTGGTCAAAACTGGATGCAGTATTCCAAGTGTGGTCTTACCAAGGCATTATAAATTGGTACTTCATGTGATCTTGATTTTATCCCTCGTTTTAGGCAGCCTAGGATTGCATTGGCTTTTTTTGGCCACTGCATCACACTGTTGGCTCACATTTAAGTGATTCTCCACTAGGACTTCAAGATCCCTTTCTCAGTTACTGCTATTGAGTCAGATTCCACCTATTCTGCACCTTGACATTTGGTTTTTGTTGGCATTGAACTTCATTTTTTTTTACATAGGGCCCAGTGTTCAAATATATTGAAATTCTTCTGCATCTTGAGTTTGTCTTCTGGAGTGTTGGCTATTCCTGCCAGCTTAGTGTCATCTCCAAATTTGATTAGTTCCCCTTCTATTCCCTCACCTAAATTGTTTATGAAGATATTGAAGAGTAGTAAGCCTAAGATGGAGCCTTGGGGTATCCCCCTGCTTACTCCCCTCCATATGGACTTAGTTCCATTAAGGACCACATATTGATGTGGTTTGTCAGCCAGTCATAAATCCATCTGATGGTGATGCTATCTGTCCCACATTTTTTTTTATTTATCAAGAAGTAGATTGTGGTCTACTTCACAAATGCCTTCCTGAAATTCCAGTATACCTTGTCCACAACATTTTGCTGGTCCACTCTTTTAATCACTGTATCAAAGAAGAAATAAGATATGTTTGGCATGATCTTTTTTGACAAACTCATGTTGCCTTGTGGTTATAAGTTTGCTTTTGCTTGATTATCTTTTTCAGGATCTTCTCAGGCATTGATATTTTCATCATCATCATCATCATCATCATCATCATCATAGTAATAAAGTTGGAAGGGACCTTTGAGGTCATCTAGTCCAACCCTCTGCTCAGGCAGGAAACCCTATACCATTTCAGACAAATGGCCGTCCAGTCCCTTCTTTAAAATTTCCAGTGTTGGAGCATTCACAGCTTCTGGAGGCAGGTTGTTCCACTGATTAATTGTTCTAACTGTCAGGAAGTTTCTCCTTAGTTCTAGGTTGCTTCTCTCCTTGATTAGTTTCCATCCGTTGCTTCTTGTCCTGCCTTCAGGTGCTTTGGAGAATAGCTTGACTCCCTCTTCTTTGTGGCAGCCCCTGAGATATTGGAACATTGCTATCATGTCCCCCCTCGTCCTTCTCTTCATTAAACTAGACATGCCCAATTCCAGCAACCATTCCTTATATGTTTTAGCCTCCAGTCCCCTAATCATCTTTGTTGCTCTTCTCTGCACGCTTTCTAGAGTCTCAACATCTTTTTTACATTGTGGTGACCAAAACTGGATGCAGTATTCCAGTGTGTCAAATGAATCATAATGAATGTAAGAGGCTATTTTAGCATTGTGGCATGTTTGCTTTTTATTTGTATACTTTTTCACATCTTCTGCAACCATTCTATAAACAAATAAAACTTTTCTTTGAATCTTACAGACAAAGATGATGCCAATAAGAACCTTCCAAACAATTGAGAATAACAAGCAACATTGAAAAGGAAAGCCAATAAAGCCAGAAATCAAAATGTTTTCCATTTCCTTCAGAAAACCACACAATTCTTCTCCTTCCCTAGCAGGTGAGAAACAAAAGAGAGAAAATCAAGAAGAGATTTCAAGTTGGAAAAAGTAGAGTATGCAGAACTCAAGGATATGTTACATGAAAAGGTCAAGGTCAACCAATTCAGAAAAAAGAGAGAAATATCTGGAAGTCAGTGGGGAGGAAAAGGTAAATTGGGAAGCCACAGCAGGTAGACCATAATGCAGGCCTTGCTCTAGGAGCAAGAAAACAGTAGCTTCAACCAAAGCAACACTAAACAAGGGGTCGCACATAATTTTAACCTCCTCAAGAATTAATCATGACCTTTTCGATGTGCCTACTCGTATAACACCCCTTTTCACGTTAAACTTTAGTGTTTACTAATACGTGTTTTACTAGGTGTAACCTCTTTTCAGTATGTTTATGAGACTTACGCAGTTTTCGGAACCGGTCTTGTCGAGGGAACACTAAGTACCTTCCTGGGTGTTTCCTCACCTCGGGGTGTTCACGAGGTAATGCAGTAAATTATTTGTGAGCACAACCACGTGGTGATACGTTGCAGGACTCACACCAGTGAGAAACCCTTTCACTGCTCTGATTGTGGGGAAAGTTTCAGTCAGAACTCCAGCCTGGTGATACACCAGAGGATGCACACAAAAAAGAAATCATACAAGTGTCCTGATTGCGGGAAAAGTTTCATTGCAAATTCCCACCTTGTGAGACACCAGAGGACTCACACAGGAGAGAAACCCTTTGAATGTCCTGATTGTGGGAAAGGTTTCAGTCAGAAGTCTAGCCTGGTGATTCACCAGAGGACTCACACAGGAGAGAAACCCTTTGAACGTCCTGATTGTGGGAAAGGTTTCAATGGGAATTCAGACTTGGTGAAACACCAGAGAACTCACACAGGAGAGAAACCCTTTGAATGTCCTGATTGTGGGAAAAGTTTCTATCAGAATTCTAGCCTGGTGATACACCAGAGGACACACATAGGAGAGAAACCGTATGAGTGCCCAGATTGTGGGAAAAGTTTCAGCCAGAATTCCAACCTGGTGATGCACCAGAGGACTCATATAGGAGAGAAACCATATGAGTGCCCAGATTGTGGAAAAACTTTCAGTCAATATTCCTACCTGGTGAAACATCAGAGGACTCATACGGGAGAAAAACCATACGAGTGTGCAGATTGTGGGAAAAGATTTGGTCAGAATTCCTACCTTGTGAAACACCAGAGGACTCACACAAGAGAGAAATTGTATGAGTGCCCAGATTGTGGAGAAGGTTTCATTAGAAAATTCCAACTCATGAGTCACAAGAGGACACATACAGGAGACAAACCCTTTGAATGTTCTGATTGTGGGAAAAGTTTCAGTCACTATTCCAGCCTGGTGAAACACCAGAGGACTCACACAGGAGAGAAACCCTTTGAATGTGCTCTTTGTGGGAAAAGTTTCAGTCAGAATTCCAGCCTGGTGATACACCAGAGGATTCACATGGGAGAGAAACCATATGAGTGTCCAGTTTGTGGGAAAACTTTCAGTCATAATTCCAACCTGGTGAAACACCAGAGGACTCACACAGGAGAGAAACCATTTGAATGTCCTGATTGTGGGAAAAGCTTCACTCAGAATTATGAACTGGTTAAACACCGGAGAAATCACACTGGAGAGAAACCGTATGAGTGTCCAGATTGTGGGAAAAAATTCAATTATAATTCCAACCTAGTGAACCACCAGAGGTCTCACACAGGAGAGAAACTGTATGAGTGTCCAGAGTGTGGAAAAAGTTTTAGTCAGAATTCCAATCTGGTGAGACATCAGAGGACTCACATAGGAGAAAAATATGGGCGTCCTGATTGTGGGAAAAGTTTCATTGCAAATTCCCACCTCGTGAGACACCAGAGTACTCACACAGGAGAGAAACCCTTTGAATGTCCTATTTGTGGGAAAAGTTTCAGTCGGTACTATAGCCTGGTAAACCACCAGAGGACTCACACAGGAGAGAAACCTTTTCAATGTCCTGATTGTGGGAAAACTTTCAGTCACAATTCCAGCCTGATAAACCACCAGAGGACTCACAAAAGAGCGAAACCTTTTCAGTGTCCTGATTGTGGGAAAGGTTTCAGTCGGTTTTGCATCCTGGTAAACCACCAGAGGACTCACACAGGAGAGAAACCTTTTCAATGTCCTGATTGTGGGAAAACTTTCAGTCAGAATTCCAGCCTGATGATACACCAGAGGACTCACACAGGGGAGAAACCGTATCAGTGTCCGGTTTGTGGGAAACGTTTTAGTCACAATTCAAACCTAGTGAAACACCAGAGGACTCACATGGGGGAGACCTTTCAAATGTCCAGTCTGTGGACAGTACTTCAGGCGTAAATCACTCCTTATTTTATACAAGGAAATCAACATGAGGCAAAAGTTGATAAATGTAGAGAAGGCTTGAATTTCATTTCTGATCTCCCGTTGAGAGTGTGGGTGAAAAATTGACTATTTGTATCCTCCCCTGATACTTTTTAGTCAACATATCTCATGATTGTACCTATAATAGTGGAAAATAAATGAAATATGTTAGTTTGATAAAAGCTAATTACCTGTTTCTGGTTATCAGCAAAAGTTTCTCGATATTTTCTTTTTGCAGAAGTTTCTCAAATTGGCTTTTGTGTTGTGTTTTTTGTATATTGATTGTAAAATTCCCACATGTGGAGTTTCCATCTTCTAACTTTTGTCCTCCAGATTTTGAGTGACAGAATTCTCCAGCCACCATACAAGTAGTCCTCGAGATACAATTGTAATTAGGCCTGCCAATTTCAGTTACATGTTGTAATGGTGCTAGAACAATGGAATGGAATGGAATGGGCATCTAGTCCAACCCCCTGCCCAAGCAGGAGACCCTACACCATTTATGACAGTCTCTTCTTGAAAGCCTTCAGTGTTGAAGCTCCCACAACTTCTGGAGGCAAGCTGTTCCATTGGTTGATTGTTCTCATTGTCAGAAAATGTCTCTGATCAATTTCCATCTGTTGTTCCTTGTCTGGCCTTCAGGTGTTTTGGAAAATAGGTTGACCCCCTCCTCTCTGTGACAGCTCCCCAAAAATTGGAACACTATCATGTCTCCCCTGGCCCTTCTCTTCACTAGACTAGCCATGCCCAGTTCCTGTAACCGTTCTTCATATGTTTTAGCCTTTAGCCCTTAATCATCTTTGTTACCCTTCTCTGCACTCTAGAGTCTCAACATCTTTTTTATAGTGTGGAGACCAAAGCTGGATGCATTATTCTAGGTGTGGTCTTACTAAGGCTTTATAGAATGGTATTAGTACCTCCTGTGATCTTGATTGAATCCCTCTGTTAATGCAACTTAAGATTGCATTGGTTTTCTTGGCTACCGCCGCCACACAGTGTTGGCTCATATTTAATTGATTGTCCACTAACATTCCAAGATTCCTCTCACAGTTACTATTAGGTCTGGTTTCACCCAATCTATATGTATACTTTTGGTTAAGACTTTACTTTTCTCTACACTGAATTTCATTTTGTTCGATAGGGCCCACTGTTCAAGTCTGTCAAGATCCATCTGGATCTTGAGCCTATCATCTAGGGCAGGGGTATCAAACTCACCGCATCACGTGACGTATTGTGACTATCACAACGTTTTTTGCCCTTGCAGAGCTGGGATGGGCATGGCCTGCGTGTAACGCATCCTTCCCGTGGGCCGGAAGTTTGACATCCCTGATCTAGGGTGTTGGCTATTCCTGTCAGCTTAGTATCATCTGCAAATTTGGTAAGTTCCCCTTCTATTCCCTCATCTAAGTCATTTATGAAGATATTGAAGAGTACTGGGCCTAAGATGGAACCTTGTGATTCCCCACTGCTTACTTCCCTCCATGTAGACCTAGTACCATTAAGGACTAATCGTTGAGTACGGTTTGTCAGCCAGTTACAGCCAGTCTGATGGCTGTATCTCACTTTTTTCTAGTTTACTAAGAAGTAGGTTGTGGTCTACTTTGTTGAATGCCTTGCTGAGGTCTAAGTATACTATGTCCACAGCATTTCACTGGTCTACTAATTGTCCTTTGTCAAAGAATTAAATAAGATTGATTTGGTATGATCTGATTTTAACAAACCTGTGCTGACTTTTAGCTATTACTTTACTCATTCCTAGATGTTTGCAGATCTGTTTTTTTATTATCTTTTTCAGTAGCTTCCTGGGTATTGATGTTAGGCTGATTGGTCTATAGTTTCCTGAGTCTGTTTTTTTTTTCTTCCTTTTTTGAAGATGGCAACCACATCAGCTCTTTTCTAGTCTTCTGGTAGATCTTCCGTACTCCAAGATTTTGAAAGATATGCTATAGTGCAGGGGTGTCAAACTGCCAGTCCGCAGGCCGGATGTGTCATGGCAAAACCACGCCCACCCAATTGCCGGCCATGGAAAAAAAAAGTTGCAATATGTCGCGACACGCCATGTGATGTTGCAAGTTTGACACCCCTGGTATAGTGGTTTTGAGATGACATCTGCAAGCTCCTTTAAAACTCTGGGATGTAATCTGTCTGGTCCCGATGATTTATATTCATCAAGTTCAGACAGGTGTTCTACTTTCAGCCTTAACACGACTATGTTAAGGAATTGTGGGTGCCCTGAAAATGGTGTCTGCCTCTGGGAGATCTCCAAAAAGGCAGGCCATGTATCCCTGGGGCACATGATAAATGGACAAGTAGCACTTGCGCCAGTATTGTGCTGCAGCTGCCAAAAAAAGCCAATGCAGTCCTAGGCTGCATCAATAGAGGAATTTTTTATTTATTTATTTATTTATTTAATTTTTATCCCGCCCTTCTCCTTACGGACTCAGGGCGGCTGCCAGCCTTATAAAACAGATACAACAATAAAATACCCAGTTTAAAATCTAATTTAAAAAGAAATATTTACTGTGGCCTATGTCAATTAAAATTTCTCTTAAAACCCCACTAAAAATTCCCCTAGGCCAATCCCACTTGTTGGAAGAGCCATGTCTTTAGGGCGCAGCGGAAGGAGGGGAGATCCGGGATCACCCGGATCTCTGGGGGTAGTTCGTTCCAGAGGGTGGGAATAGTGTCAAGATAACAAAAAGAGATAGAATTGCTTTACACAGTGCTGGTGACACCACACTTAGAATAAAGTGTCCAATTCTGGTCACCATGATACAAAAAAGTTGAGGAGCCCCTGGAAAGTGTGCAGAGAAGAGCAACAAAGATGATAAAGGGTATGGATGCTAAATCATATGATGATCAGTTGTAGAAGCTAGGTATATCTACTCTATCAAAGAGAATCATTAGGAGGGACATGATAGCTGTCTTCCAGTACTTGAGGCGCTGTCACAAAGTAGAGATTGACTTATTCTCTAGGGCACCTGAGGGCAGGACAGGAAGTAATGCGTGGGAGCTTGTTAAAATGAGGTCCAACGTAGAAGTAAGGAGAAATTTTTCATCAGTGAGGGCAATTAATCAATAGAATAGCTTGCCTCCAGGGATTGTGGGTTGCTCCATCACTGGAGGTTCTCAGGAATAGACTGGACAACCATTTGAGTGGGATAGTATAAGGCTTCTGCCTTGAGCAGCGGGTTGGACTAGACCTCTAGGGTCCCTTCCAAGCATATAACGTTGTGCTTCCATGAATTTAGAGGCCGTTTAGAAAATAGGAACAAACCAGCCCCCCGTACTTGCTTCTGGCAAAACAAAACAAAGAAAAAAACCCAAATAATTTCATTCAGAAAATTAATATAAAGTACAAACTCAAAAAAAATATGTTTTTTTCAAAAAAGAAAATAAGGATAGACAACGCATTTTAAAAGAAAGAAAAATGTGCATTAAAAAAGACAAAAACATTTACATATATTATTCCCCACACTTGAGTATTCATAAATATATTGGAGCAATTATTAGTTTTCTCCCCTTGTGAAGTGGGCCCAAAATTTATAAAATTCTACCTCTATTTACAACCAATTTAACCTTCATCTATCTACTACAGTGGTCCCCAATCTTTTTGGCACCAGGGACCAGTTTCATGAAAGACAAGTTTTCCATGGGGTGGCCCGGGGGGCGGCGGGAAGAATCAGGATGACAGACAGGGAAGCCTTCACTAGAAGAAGCTTTCTTTTGCTCCACGGGCAAAATCAGAAGACAGAGAAATCTTCACTTGAAGAGGCTCTCTGCTTCTGCTCCAGGGGAAACCCCAATCAGGGTTCTCCAATCTCAGGGAAGCAGAAAGAGGCGTAAATCGGAGGTCCCCAACCTTTTGGGCACCAGGGACCGGTTACGTGGAGAGAGGTTTTTCTGTGGACCGGGGGGGGGGCGTGGTTTTGTGTGCTGCCTGCATCCTGCAGATGGGACTTTGCTTGTTTGTGTGGACCAGTTGCTGGCACGCCGCAGACCAGTACGGGGGTTGGGGACCTTTGGCGTAAATGATGACTGCCTGCACTTTTCAATGGCTCAGCACAGTGTTTCTCTTCCAGATTACACCAGTGACTTTCTTTCTAAGAAAGTGGGAAGGAAATAGGGGAGAAGAGTCAATTCTAGCAGGCTTCCAGCAAAAAAAAAAAAAAA